CCTTTGTCCTCACTTTTCTTTCTTTCTTCTTTTTTTTTATATAGTTTATTTATCATTTTCCATTGTATAAAGCATACATAACATAATCATTTACATATTTTGGAGTTTACATTACACATTTTCCCCCATCCATCTATCTAACTTTTGCCATCTCTTTTGGAATATACTTTCTTCCTTCCCTGCTAGTATCATGTTTAGTTTATCCATTTCTTTTATTTCCAAAATTTTCATTGTTAATTCTTCTCTACTTGGAATTTTATCTGATTTCCAAGATTTAGCTACAAGTCTTCTGGATACCGTGAGGGCATATAATATCATACCTTGATCATTATGTTTAATCCCATCCGGTAACATATTAAGTAAATACACTTCTGGTTCTAACTTCAAATCTATTTCAGTTATCTCCAATATTATCTGTTTTATCATTTTCCAAAACTTGCAAACCTTCTCGCATCTCCACCATATATGATAGTATGATCCGACATTTTTATTACATCTCCAGCAATTCCCTGAGACATTTTTATAACATTTAGCAATCTTATCTGGAGTCCAATGCCACCTGTAACACTTTTCTTGAAAGTCCTCACTTTTCTTGAAAGTCTCTTGCTGGGGTTGCCATAAGTTGGTTGCAACTGGACGGCCCATATGTACTTATCAGTGGAGGCAAACACAAGATGACCTCCTACTCATATGTGAATACAATGGGAGAATCATGATTTCTCTTTTGCTGTGGATCTAGTAAGCAGGCAAGGGGAACTATCCCCTACCTCTTCCGTATCTCACGTCGCTGCACTTGTTCTATCATCATTGTAAAGTGCTGAGTTTGGATGCGTTGAGTAGTGACCAGCTCATGCTTTATAAAGTAGGCAAAATGAAAGGCAAACTAGCGAGGTCCGAGCCCCGCTTATATTCCTGCAGTACCCCACACCCAACACACACCCCACACCCGTGATAGGCTATTTACAGTGGAGTAGTGCTTCATAGGTCTACGCTAGAATCTGGGCACTCCCAATTGGTCTACCCTAGGATCTGAATCCTCTATTGTTCTTGCACCCAAAGGTGTGCTTGACCGCTAGCGCAAATGTGTTCCATAGTAGTATACAGTAGTGTTCCATAGTAGTACACAGTAAAAGGTAAAGGTCAAGGTTCCCTTGCTCGAAAGCCAGTCGAATCCGACTCTAGGGTTGCGGTGCTCATCTCCGTTTCAAAGCCGAAGAGCCAGCGCTGTCCGAAGACGTTTCCGTGGTCATGTGGCCGGCATGACTAAACACCGAGGCGCACGGAACGCTGTTACCTTCCCACCAAAGTGGTGCCTATTTATCTACTTGCAATTTCTTGCTTTTGAACTGGTAGTTTGGCAGGAGCTGGAACTAGAGACGGGAGCTCACTCCGTCATGCGGCACACCTGGGTCTCGAACTACTGAACTACCGACCTTCCACAGCCTGCAGTTCAGCGTCTTAACCACTTGAGCCACCGCAGCTTCACTAGTACACAGTAGTGTTCCATAATAGTACACAACAATTATTATCCTGGTCTGGTTCACTTATAGGGTTCCCCTTCTCATTATCTCGTAGAATTACAACTGGTTGGTCTCCAGGTTACAGAGCTCAGTTTCCTGCGCGTAGAAATCAGGTGAAGCTGCGGGGCAAAATGTGGCCACGCAGCAAGTAGTGGGAAATTGACTAATGTAATTTGGGGGGGGGGGAGGGAAGCGCGAGGGAGGAGCAGCGGCTTGTGGGAAATCGGTTTTCCTCTTTTGCAAGCGTCCCAAGCCAGTCAGGATAAGAAGGCTTCTGCTGTTGGTCTTGTATCTTTGAGGCTAAAAAAGGGGTCTTCTTGACTCAAAAGAAATAGACTGAGACTTACTGATTAATTGATGCTCCCCCATCCTCTTTGAACCCATTATTTCCCTCCAAATTCATTTTCACGATGTCAGGACCAGGGACGCCAGCTCCTCCCCGCGCCCTCGTATTTTCAGCCTTCTATTTGTTTCTGTGCATTGTTTATCCCAGAGACATTTCTCTTTCACCGGGTATAGTCATTATGAAATAATTCTCGGAGAAGACACAGGCCACTGATTTTTTGCAATTTGCATCAGCCACACTCTTAAGTTATGTTGAAAGCTAAGCTTTTTGGTCCCCCTGCTTCAGGAGTGCATTAATATTTCTGTGACCTTTACCGGATGGCAGACGAGAAGCGCTAGGAATAAAAATAACAAACAAACCCAGAGAGACGGGGCACTCAGAATTGCATATTTGTGATCCTGAGCCCAGAAGGAATGCGAGGAATACGAAGCTCCATCCTTACGAAGTTGACAGTGGATGTTAAAACAATCAGCTGCACCGGGCTCAGATCTAAGGGCAGCATTGGTGGTGGTGGAGAGCGCCGTCAAGTCATAGCCGACTTATAGGGTTGCCAAGTCGAAAAAGGTACTTACCAGGGGACTCCCGGTCTGCGGTTGGAGCACGCGCGCTGCACGCATGTCACCAGGAAGTGACGCTATGACGCCGGGCACGCTGGGGGCGGGGCCACGACCATCTGAGGGAAAACCATAGAGTTTGTAACTCCTGGTGTGACTCCTGGTGACTCCTAGTGGGGCTAGGATGTTCCAGACAGATGGCTTCTATTGCCTGCCTCTGTGCCCCGGCCCTGGTATTCCTTAGAGGTCGCCCTTCCAAGTACTTTCCAGGGCCGGCACTGCTTTGCTTCCAGAGTGAATGCCTCTTCCAACCATGCACGTTAACTAATGAAACTGTCGCGGCCAGTTGTGACCGGGATAGCACTTCTCTGTGCGTGAGCCAGGCCGTCTCCATCGGGTGCTTTTTGACACAAACCAGCCTGTTCCTGCCCTGGAGTTTCTTTCTGTCAGCGCGGCGCTCTTTTTCGGTGGTTTAATGTCACACACAGGAAGTCAGCCTTGTTCCTGTTCGTTCAGCTAACATTAGTACAGTTTCAAAAGGGAAAAAAAGACTGGGAGCGCAGTACTGAGAGTGGCGGCTGGCACCTGTTAAGTCGCTCGCTTAACAAAGAAAGTCGGAGAGTGACTCAGCAAGAACACAATTTTATTCTTCAACTCGAACACAACTCCAACATGGATCAACATCTGATAGCCAGAACAGAACAGTTCAGCTTTTACATTGCAGCTGTCCTGCTTTTAAACATTCCCGGCTAATGTAGCCACACCCACTGTACAAATACCAACCAATACGGTTGTTCACATAAGGACCAATCATGGACGTTCCCGCTCAGGGAGCTTGCTGTGAAGTGATTGGTTAGGTGCTTCCTGGGGTAGCAATGCAATTGGATGGATTTGGATCCTAGCCCAGGACGAAGCTCAACATGGCAAGTCAATTAGATGTTTCACATACATCATGCATTCAATGGCAGCTATTGAATACGTTACAGTGCCCATTGCGGTTGGTGGGGGAAGGCAGAGGGCAGCCGACAGTGGGCAGAGCGGCAGACGATGGTAGGCACAGCTAACTGCTTCTTTTTGATCCAGTGACCTCTGGATTTGGGCAAGGATACTAAAATAACATTGAAGCACCGCAGTACCGTTACACTTCACTGGTTCCCGTGCTTTGTCATTCCCCACGCCTCTGCGTGCGGCTGCTGGTGGGGCCTTGGGTCAGTCACAAGTTTACCTCAGAGCTATTCTCTCACGAGCCGTTCTCTCAGAGCTCTCTCGGCCCCACGGGGTGTCTGCAGGCTTTCCTCGGGTTGCCAGCTCCAGCTTGGGAAATCCCTGGAGAGTGGGGAGGATGGTGCAACATAGAGTTGCCAACCTCCAGGTAAGACCTGGAGACCTCCTGCTTTTTGCAACTGATCTCCAAACGACAGAGATCAGTTCCCGTAGAGAAAACGGCAGCTTTGGAAGGTGGGCTCTGTGACGCTGTGCCCTGCTGAGAGGTCCCTCCCCAACCCTCCCCTCCTCAGGCTCCGCCCCCCCAAATCTCCAGGTGTTTCCCAATCCAGAGCTGGCAACTGTATGCTGAGAAGGACAGGGTGAGGTCTGGTGACGGACACTCCTGAGCATTGCCGTTGCTTCAGAATCCACAGCAAACCCACTGCAAGCCATCAGTCACGGAGTAACAAACAATGGAAATACAGTGATTTATAATTTGAAGCCAGCCCCCCCGAAAATACATCTAAACAAGGGGGCGGGCCCCGCGATACTCGCGGGGGGGGGAGGGACCTCCACACAGGAGGCAGAGGAGGAAGCAGCAGGAGGAGGTAAGTTCCCCCCATCCCGCCAGTTCCTCCTCTGTCTCCTCCACCCCCCGCTCGATCTCCCCCCTTCCCCCCCCGGCTCCGAAGCAGCGGCAGCGAGGGAATTCGCAGAGCGTTCCCTGCGCATGCACAGGGGCCCGCTGCTTGCCGCTCAGGCCTCGCTGCTTGCCGCTCGGGCCTCGCTGCTCTCTTCCCCTACCCAAGCAGCGGCGGCGAGGGAGTTCGCAGAGCGTCCCCTGCACATGCGCAGGGGACGCTCTGTCACTTTTGGGGGGATTTAAGTATCCCCCCAATATTTTTTTCAGGTTTTTAGATTTTTGTGCACACCTGGGGACTGCCCCAAGTGTGCACAAAAATCTCCCTCCCCCCCAGGTGACCCCGTGCGCGGATTTAGGTATCCACACACAGGGGGCGCCTTTCGCTATTAGATATATAGATACCGGTTTGATATTGCCATACCTTCCCGGACTCGAAATCCACTGCACCATCTTTCACACAAATTCCAGTATCTGTTGCTGTGCAATGGATTATTTGCTACAGCACTTAAAAATACCCAGTGCATATAAAAAAATACATATTTTTTATTATACATGTATTAATTAGTGTATATTTGGATGGGTCGTTAGGTAGGATGTGAGGTTTCCGTTGTAACTTTCCTTTTACAAGATTTTGGTTCTTGAACATGTTTGGCATGTTGTTCTCAAACAGCTCTTCTGTGTCCCATTGGAAAAAGCAACTCATCATTGTATCCATGCAGGGAACTCATTTTTCAGATCTTAATCCTTTCTTTCTCCTTCTTATTAAAAGAATTCTGAGGTTCAGTGGGTGTCACAATCCGCGACAAGGGCCCCAGATGTGGAAATTTGGTTGGCTGCCCTTGCTTAATCATGTACCTGCAAGCGCAAGGGAAAAAAGTACAAATAATGTGAAATACAGTTTTAACCTCAAGGTCACCTCAAAAAGTGTTACCAGGGCTATTTTGGGGCAGGAACGCACAGGAACGGAGTTCCGGCTGGTTTCAGAGTTGGCCAGGCCCACTACAGCCAAAACCTCTGTGTGTGCATGGCTACAGAGGGAAGGCATGGAGAGCAACCCCCCCCACCGGCAACTCCGAGGCGGGCGGGCCGGGGGGGGGCCTTGAAGGATCAGGGAGGCATTTAAAGGCCTCCCCGTGCCTTCCCTGGCCTGTCCAAGGGCCGGCTTGCCCGGGCTACCCACAGCCGCGGGGCGCCCAGGCAAGCCAAGGGAAGGCAGTTTAAACTGCCTTCCCTTCCCTTCAAGGGGGGGACTTGCCCGTGCAAGCCAAGGGAAGGCATGGGGGTGCGGCCTAATATGCTAATGAGCTGTGCTGTCAGGGTTGTGGCCTAATACGCTAATGAGTTTCTGCTGTTGGGTGTGGCCTATTATGCTAATGAGTTCCTGCTGGGCTTTTTCTACCAAAAAAAGCCCTGGGTGTTAGGATGTCCTTGGATCCCATACTGCTGTAGAACAAAACTCCGATGGTTCCCCCACCACATCCTCACCCTTGTCTCCCACTAGGTGCCCGCAGGCAACCCTAACGTGAGACCTGAAGTTCTCCTAGAATTACAACTGACCGCAAAGGTACAGAAATCTGGAAGAACCATAGAGGCCAGGTGAAACAGACGTCCTGGAGCGGCGACAGAGCTCTAGGACCTCTGCTTCTCCTCCACAGTGCCGCGGAAACTCTTATGGTCCACCACAGATACTAGGAAGAGCTGGTTTAATGTCTCTAGAGTCATTAAATGCCAGAGGCTAGCTGGGAATTGAGTGCGGGACGGGCCTAATGTTGGCCGGCAAATCCACCTGTGGATTTTCAGAGTGGATTTTTCGCCTCAGCACTGAAGGCGACCACAGGTATTATGCCAGCACCAATCCTTAGGATCATGAGTACAAATGCGTACAGCTGAGGTAAGGTGTGAGAGAGAAAAGATGGCGGGAAGTGATATGTAAGGTGGGAGATGTAAATTTAAAATTTCGGTGAAAGTGACCTCACAGGAATGGGAGGAACCGATCCTTGACCTGGATGTGACATCACATGCCTCTGAGCTCCCCCCCCAAGCTCCACAGTCTCCAGTCTCCACCCCCAAATCTCAAGGAATTTCCTAAGCCAGATTTGGCCTCTGTAGTCCCATGGTCCCCTTCCAAAACTCACAGTCAGGGGTTATTTCCTGCAGGAGCACACAGGAACGGAGCTCCGGCAGTAAAGAGTCCAGGGGGCGGGCACATGCAACAAGCCCCACCCCCCAGCAGCCCTCAGTCAGAGCAGGAAGCAGCCAGGTAAGTTGCAGAGCCCCCCCGGCCCCAAACAGTCTAGTGGCACCTTTAAGACCAAGTTTTATTCAGGTACAAGCTCTCCCTCCTCTGCGAGGACAGATCTGCACATTCCCCCCCCCCAACAGCTAGCAATCCAAAACAGTCCAGTGGAGCCTGAGTGGTGGGTGTTGCCTTCTGACACACTTCCGGTGATGTCAGGGGGGGGGGGGGGGCATATGCAAATGAGTTATGCTGATGAGTTATGCTAATGAGCTCCTGCACCTCTTTTTCTATGAAATGACCCCTGCTCACAGTTATTATATGGCTATGTGTGTGTGTGTGTGTGTGTGTGTGGGGCTAGTGAGGCCCTAAATTATGTCATGTTTAAGAGGCCTCATAGCATTGTTTTTTTTTAAAATATGTGTTACTCTAGCATTGTTTTTTGTTTGTTTTTTAAATTTAGAGGCCCCTCATTAACTTGGCTGGAACCGGAGAGGAACAGTTTGCTGTTGAAAATAAAATAAAAAGTCAAATATTTCCCACTGGGAATATCCAGTTCCTTAGCCATAACCGTCCATAAAATGGAAATGTTCCGGCTCTAATCCGGTGACAGTCATGCCTATGATCTGTGGAAATCTATGCAGCTAGTTAATTGTGACCAACACCCTATCGATACCAGCAGGACGTAACACACTCTGGTTCAGGGCCTTCTTCCTGTTTTAGAACTTGTCTTCGCCCGTCACCTTTCAAAGTAAAGGTAAAGGTTTCCCTTGCTCGAAAGCCCGTTGAATCCGACTCTAGGGATGCGGTGCTCGTCTCCGTTTCCAAGCCGAGGAGCCAGCGCTGTCCAAAGACATTTCCATGGTCATGTGGCCGGCATGACTAAACACCAAGGTGCAGGGAACGCTGTTACCTTCCCACCAAAGCGGTACCTACTTATCTACTTGCAGTTTCTTGCTTTCGAACCCAGCACCTTTCAAAAGGATATGCCGAGTTTC